TTCTACTCAGTGCGAGTAACAAATTTTATCGTGTGTCTAAACCTAAAAACTAAAAACTATATTTACATATTGACCTGTTTTAGGCTTGGCTAGTTTTTTTTTTTTTACAAATATGTCTTAAAATGTTGCATGGAAAGTTGCAGCGGTGGCGTAGCCACATTGACTGTGAAAAATGTTGGCGCGCAATATTGCACGGCAATGTTGTACCGTGTGTCCGGGCGTTACTCACTGAAGTCAGATGGAACACATGATACTGTATGCGAAGCACGTGAATTGTATAATCGATTACTTTACGACGTTACTACCGAAGATTAACCGACGATCACGGAGGAAAGCTCTCGAATTATTTGGTAGTTGCCGATGCCTTACGAGACGTTACGAGAATTGCCACGGAGGTCGCGTAAGGTTTTTTGATGTTTTCATAGACCTTCCAAGGTCGTGGAATAAGTCGGTTGAAATTCACGAATATCAGTTATTAATTTCAAGTTCTTCACGCGGTCACGTGAAACCGTTAAGTTATTTTTCCGCGGAGCATGGACCTGTCAGTGATGTTATTTTTTCTAGGTTCGCACTCTAGTTTCGTAAAATTGATGTTTTTTTCCATAAAAACTGGCTCTGTTTGGTTGATACGAATGAAATAGGCCATTTCTGAGTTGACTTTCGACTACTAGTTCTGTTTTAAAACAAATCCTTAGCAAAAAACCTTTCATAATGAGTTTTAAATATTCAGTTCATTTTCATGTAAATCCAACACAGTACCTTGAATGACCTTGAATGGTTTCGCAAGCGGACTTGTTTTGAAACAGAGGCAAAAATGTAACTCGGAAATTCGGAGGTACCAGGGAATTTCTTACATGTTGTTTCAGTCATACTCAATTCTGTAACAGTAAACCATCATGCAAAAAATAGAAAAATTGCATCATACTGCCAAGCTCACAGTGATATATAAACACTCTATTGTTTGAAGGTTAACCCCAAAATTCTGAATATTCTCAGTACCAATTTTTCCAAAATTAGTTTATTATTCGGGCTATGTTATGAATAGTATTCAACGATAAACCCAGTCGTTCCTTAATAGGCTTCAGCAAAAAGTTCGTCTTAATAATATCAATATTCGATCTTCAGCATGATTTTCAGAGAAATCGTAGTGGGAGGGCGTTGAAGCCAGCCACAATGCATTCTTTTTATTAACGGTTGCGAACCAATTCAGCTAAAAGATCGACAGATTCCCACCGGCATGTGGTCTGTTTCATTGGAAAAAAAACCCTCGAAACGAAAAAATGTGTTTATTTGCCTGAGATCATTTTGAAATAGCCAGTTTTTGGAAACGGAATCTGACAACCACCTGACACAGCTGAACGCGCCTTCTCCTACACGGACGTACGCGGTTTTCTTTTCTTACAGTCAGTGATGGGAAATAACCTCGGAAGAACGCGAACAGCTGCCCACATGTAGGGAGTATGTGCGCATTCAATTACAGGAAAAGACTGTGCTTCGGATATTTAATATCTCGATTCCCAATGCTATAGGCCAGGCTATAGGAAATCTAGTTAAGAATAAAGGAAAAGGACAACAAGGCTTCCAGACTCTTTGCTTTTTCACGAATTCCATTTTCTCTTCGGCGCTGCCGAAAAATAATTGGCGCCCATATTTTCTCAGCCCCACGCCGTTTGAATTTCAAGCCAGTTGTTCTGACAACGTTATTGTATCCTTTCTTAGAATTTGAAATTAGCAGATCCGTAACTTCTAACTATATGCAAAAAATACAAAGGCAAATCTTTCAGAATGGAGAAATTGAATTCGAAGAAAACTCTCGAATTTTATTCTTGGAAATATAAGGAAGAAATAAATCAAACTTATTAGCCGCTAGGACACATACCAGTAGTTTAACATTGTGGGCCATTGTAGCAACTTGTATGTCGCGGAATCGTTTATCTCTGAAGAATCTGTATCTCTGAGGAATTAATCCAATACAAAATGTAAGAACTGTAGGGAAGGACGTAGTTAGTGATGATGTTCCACGTCCAGGAAATATTAGCGGGATTGGGGATGTTGCTCCCCCCCCCCCAGTGTTGAACGGTTGGAATAAAGCGCCTATTAAATGTGTTACGAGACAACACGGCTTTGGCCACATGGAAGAAAAGTAGTAGAGCATATTTTTGTGAGCAGTGAATTGCCATATTTTTTGGCATATTATGTGAAAATATTTGTTTATATTCTCGTGACACCGTGATCTAGGTAGCCGTGAGCCGTTATACTACGATTTTGTGGCTACCGCTCGTATGACTCGTATGCCGCCGGACTTTGCGTTGAAATGATCGTTTTACTATCCGCGAAAGGTGATTCCCCCCCCCCCCCCCCACCCCCACCTAGCCACCTAATGTCCATCGATTAAACTTTTATTTTATTATTTTTAATTTAATTTCTTTTTAATTTAATTTAATTATTTATATTTTATTTTTTTATTTAATTTATATTTTATTTTTCACTCCGCACTCCGCCACTCCTCGTTTTCGGAACAGCCTGATTTTCAGAGAATCTATATAGCCCCCGGCCCAGCTACCTATAGCCACAATGCATTCTTAACGTCATTTTGTTGCGACCAATCAGCTAAAACTGATTCATACCGGCATGGTCTTAGTACAATTACAAAACGGCTGAGGCATTACGTCTAAATATACCAGAAATGATTGACGTAACGTGAGCCTTTCAATCAATCATTCAAATGGTGAAAACACCCATGCATACCATACAAAACTTGACATACGTACTAAAAGATCATTTGCCTGAGATCCCTTTTTGCCAAGATCTGCCATCCACGTCACCTGACACAGCTGAAATCGCCTTTTCTTGCACGGTTTTCTTTTCCTACAATCAGTGATGGGAAATACCTTCGGAAGAACACGAACAGCACAGGTAGGGGGAATGTGCGCATAGACTGTGCAGGAATATAATGTGCTTGGAGATTTAATATCTCGATTCTATAGGCAATCTGAGCTAAGAATAAAGGAAGAGACAAGGCTTCTAGGCTCTTTGCTTTCTCGCGACTTTCATTTTCTCTTCCGCGCTGCCGAAAACATAATTGGCGCCCATATTTTCTCAGTCCCACGCCGTTTGACATTCAAGCCAGTTGTCTTGACAGCTTTATTTTATCCTTTCCTAGAATTTGAAAATTGCATATCCGTAACTTCTAACTCAGTATATGCAAAAATACAAAGGCAAATCTTTATCATGTTTTCCTTCTATTTTCTTTATGTTTCAAGAATTATGAGGTACACGTTCATGTGAACGAGATTAATCAATGTACTCTGGAAGGGAGCTTTTAAGACGGTGCGGAAACGAAGGACGCCATTCATTGGCTAGACGAAGTGGGCCAAACAACCTTGAAATTTCTGCGAGCTGCCATCACTTTCGTTCCAGATGCTTTAAATGATGGTGTTGATCTGAGTAATGCCTGCTTCATTCTCCACCAACCGGTTGGCTCGTTTGTGATCAAGTCTGGAAATGGTGATTGGGAATTCAAGTTTTCGCAGGACGACAGAGGGAATATTTGCGGGACATGCGAACGTCAATCGCTCAGGCGATACCTTTGGAATAGAGCCAAATCTGTAGTTATATGTGCTGGGAAACTTGTATTTAAGGCTGTCGTTTCAACGGGTGTTACCCCTAGCCATTACCGCTGCGGCCGTTGCTGCAGCCCCGTTCCTAGGCCCTGTGGGTCCTGCCTTAGTCGTTGCTGCCTCTTACCTAACCGTAGATAGGCTCTTGGCGTTGACTGATTAAGTGCATTATGTAAGTGTTGTTGTACATCATTTCTTACATCTTTTTATTTTTGCTTTTAGCACTGAGTCTTTTAGAGTTTATCTTGATCGGAAAACGAGCTATCAAAAGAAAGGAGTTAAAGGAAATGTAATCGTCGGTTCGGAATATTGATACGATTCTTTTGTTGGCATTGCAAGAGCATAGTTTGGGATTACTGAGTTAGCCGAATAATTTATCTATCCATTTTCTTCTGGATGCTTTGAATTGTAACCTTAAATCTGAGAATCTCCTGAAAAACTGTTGGCTCAGCTGCCAAGCAAATAGGCAATTTCCTTTCACTAAAGAACTACATGCAACGAATCAATTTATTTTGGGCTGTAAAAAAATTACGGTCCTTTACGTCAGTTTACTTTTATACTCAAAAGTTTTGCACAAGTAAACAATTTGAAACTAGTCTCATGTAAGATTATTTTATTTTTGGGACCCCGAGCAGCTGAAACTATCTCATAAGACTTAAAAGATGTTATTTATCTTTAGTCAATAACAGTGGATTTCCACGAATCTGTAATTAAATTAAGACATACTAAGCACAAGCACTTGTTTTTCCGTAAACTTTGAACCGATGCTGGAGTAGTTCACTCAGTTAACTAACAGTATCTTTCCGAAGGAATCTAAATAAAGTCAATAAATACTTACATTTTGCAAGTGTTGTGTTATTTTGATGTCTCTGTGTTCCTGGAGGCAGCTTTTAAACTTTATAAAGTCTTCGACGAGTATTTGTATTTCCGGTTGACCTTCCACTATGAATAATTTAAGCCGGTGAGCCAATCATAATAACGGAACTCGAAGCTCGATAAATTATTCAGTTTTTTTTTTACAAAATATAAATTAGGTGAAAAAACAGGAAGAATTCATCATACATAAGTGGATAAGAAAATAAAACTCAAGAAAAAACAAAACAAAACTCGTAGGGTTCCAAGATATCGGAGTTAACTGCTCGAGAAACTCTCGTTTTTATTCTTTGTTTTCATCTGACGTCATCAAAATTCTAAAATCTAAACTGTTAATCCTACGAAGCTATTCTTTTTATATAAACAATGCAGGTCCCAGAACTACATACGAAGACTAGTCTGGTCCACCTAAAACAACAAGAAATAAAATCCTGTTAGAAATTGAAATAGCCGCGAACTTGAGAGAGATATTATTCTGTCAGTGAGCTACAAAAAAAAAATTCCGAGTTCTCCCAACATGAGTGGAACCTATAACCTTCCACACACCGGTCGGACGCTCTACCACTGATCTACAGGAGACTCGTGGGAGCTAAGGCCATATAACTATCGGATTACTAGGTGACTAGTGTGAACTCGCAAATAATTCGACAGGTTTCCCGATATTTGCACAATAATGGCAGAAAATATCATGAAGAGAGGATGATCTAAGAGAAGCATTACCCATACATGGATCTCAGTCTTCCATAGCCTGCCTCTGGCACCCAGGGTACCATAGCCTGCCTCTGGCACCCAGGGTACCATAGCCTGCGAGAGCAGACGTAATTTCCGGTTCAGAACCCTTGAGCCGGAAATGACGTCTGCTCTCGATCGCAGGCTAAGTCTTCCAATGATAATTTTTTTAAATCTACCAGTTTTAATTTTCAGTCCATAGCTGAACTATGTCAAGAGAGTGCGCTGATTGGTCAGTTCGAGTAACATCCTCGATCAGTATAAGGAAATAAAAATAAGTTTCACAGCATGGCGCAAATTTATTAATAGATTTCAAAGCGTCATGGTGCACAGGTAATCCTTCTCTTAGATAATTCTCTCTTGTGGTCACCAAACAGTCACCCACGCCGAGTTTTTTTCAGTCTTTGCACAAGTTGCTTTTCTCAAACCTCTCACAAAACAGAGGTAAGGCGAGTGGTACAGAGAAACAATAAAAGAATACATATGTTGATTGTTTTACTGTAATGTAAGGCTAAGCCAAGGTATAGAAGCTTATAGAATTGGATGACCTCAATTTGTTTAAAAAAATATTGCTAACTGAACCACAATTTTAATACAAAACAAGAATCCCTGAAGGAGTTTACAAGCGGCCGATATCACCTTGAGGGGGGCGGGGGGAGGGACAACAATACGTGACTGCGTGATGCAAATTTTGGCTAGCTTGAGTCAAGCTCACTTCGTAGAAACTGTAATATCTAACCAAATATCGTCACTCAACTAAAAGCCAAATAAACATTTGAATACCTATACCTTTACCAAGTCTTCACACCCACTAATAAATTCTTCTTCCAAAAACGGCACAGGATACTACGCACTTAGCCCTCTTTGTTAACGTTATCGCCGGATACCTCTCTTGCAAAGCAATAGTGTCTCTTTATTGCGTCATGCTTATACTGCGCTCCGGAAGATAAATTCTCTAGTGGCTAATTTTAGCCAATGTCAATTGCGTCATGTTCAACAGGGGCAGAGATGCGTTTTTCGCTTAACGCGAAAATAAACTGTGAATGATTGACATACTGTGGAATTGTGTGAAGAAAAACTGTTATGTTTTTGGGACAGGGTTTTATCGTTCGTTTACTGGTTGAGCTGCATGTATTAGGTTTAAACAGAACAGAAATTCTCTAGTGGCTATACGTCATGCCCATGTAATTGGAAAACCCCTCTAGAATTGAAACTGAAAGCAGATGACTATTACATGTTATAGTTCCCTTGTCTCGTTAAATATTTCACTTGTTTCTTTTTAAGAAAAGAGCATTTACATGCGCGACACGAAAATCGACTTTTTCTCTAAACGTTAAGTAGGAAGAAATTCTCCAAAAAGCCTGTGGAAGAGAAATTCTCTAGTGGCTAATTTTAGCCAATGCGATTGAAATCATGACGGCTTCATTCGCACCTCTGTCCCTTTTTTATTAGAGTTAAATTGTTTTTGCATCTGCAATATTGCTTCGGAAAAAAAACTTAACGGACAATTTGACAGTTATTGTTGATTTAATGTCTTTTGTTTGGTTTTCAACGTAATCATGCATTTGAGTATCACAGAAAAAGTCTTCGCATAATTCACATACATGTATAACATAAGATAACAATATATAGAACAAAAATAATATACAGGAATGTTACATGCTAATGACAATGACAGAATACAAAGTAGGAAAAATGGTTACAATTTTTGCTGTTGATTAGACTAGATGGATTATAGACTTTCTCAAAGTCGTTCGCTTCTCGTTTCCGGTTCCGGTTGGGAGTAGGCCCCGGCTACTCCCAAGTGAGTGAGTGGGAGTGTGTGGGTGAGTGAGGGAGGTGAGTGAGGCAAGTGAGGGAGTAGGCTCGCGCTACGCGCTCGATCTCTGAACTCGACGTGTAGGCAAGTCTAGATGGATTATTGAAAAAATTTTGGTTGAATTTTTCAAGATGCGCCATCCGTGACATAGCTCCTTCAGTTAAGAATGTTCAAGAGGAATATGGATTAGCAGCGAGAATTGAGTTCTGCTCATTATCCTGGTATGGTGATCTTTGGCCCCGGGTGGGGGATACTCCCTGAAATTTTTGGTGGGGGTGTGCGGCCTGCTTCTTGAAACCCTTACCCTATTTCAGACCAACATATGTGATTTTCCATACCCTATTTCAGACCTATAAAATTAGTACACGTGTCTAATACATGACTTCAGCTACCCAGGAATGGGTTTCTATTTGCGCAAACAGGTAACCTGTGATGGACTAGCATCCCACCCATTAGGGGTAGCAACACATGGCAACTGGAGTACTAGCCCGATGAGCTGGCTGGACAATGACATCACTGAACAATCACTTTGAATATTCTTATTCCCTTTACATCCTTTTCACTCAATAGGGCTGAATCGCAAAATATTTAACTAAGACAAACAGTACCACATGAAAGTACTTTTTGTTAGCATGCTAAGGTTTCGTCCTCAGAAATAAAAGTTATCACATTCAATTGGCCAAAACATTTTACTGTACTCTAGGAGGTATATGGCCAGAGTGGAAAAAACTGAAGTCGATTGCAATGTTCCATCCACTGGATGGGATGCTGTCCATTGCAGGAAACCCCCCCCCCCCCCCCCCAGCAGGTGCAGATCCAGGAAAAAACCTGACCGGTTTACTAGAGTCTGAGCGCCGAATCCATGGAAGTCCGGAGGCATGTTCCCCGCAAACGTTTTTTAGATTTTCACCCTCTAAAATTAAATTTCCCTCGATTTCGAGTCATTTGGAAAATTTGACCGATTTCCGTAACACGGTGTAAGCCGGTCTGGATCTGCGCCTGCCCAGAGTTTTTGTCAGAATATTCTGACAATTCTGTGAGAGTAAAGTGTCTTGGTCTTGCCCAAGAACACAAAACAGCCGCTCGAACAAGGATCGCTTGATCCCTCAGTAAGTATGAGAACAGAATCTTAGATCTGTTTGTTAATCAGGAATAACGTCAGGAAAATCGCATTCAACAGCAACAAAAAAAATACATGCATATTAAAAATAATGTTTTTGTGGTTAAAATCCGATACACAATCTTGATAGAAATAATTTGTCATAATAATTTAATACTAAATAAATCATTCATTGGTATTTTGTTAATTTCTTGTCTCTGCTATCTCATTTTTGCTGCAATCAGGCCTATCGCTACACTGCCAAATATAAACAATGCAGGTCCAAGAACTCCAGACGAAGACTCTGGTCCACCTAAAACAAGAAGAAATAAAATCATGTTAGAAATTGAAATAGTGCAAACTTGCAAAGAATTTGACAGGTTCCCCACTTGAACCGCCACTAACAGACACCTCCCAGCTACATACAGACACTACATTTTTAACCTCCCATAAGCGGACACTTTTTCAGGTCCCAAGGGTATCTGCTTACGGGAGGTTCAAATTTATTTTGCATTTGGGGAATCAGGGTAAAAATGGAAGAGGGAGGAGGGGGGGATGGTTCTTCTTTCCCTCCCCCTCTTGGTTGTTTCCCATGATTCCTCCCCTTCCCCCTTACAATGCCTGCTATACAGGCTAATATCAACGGTTACCCAACAGTCATCCACAGATTTGATGTTGTTTGCACAACTCACTTTTCTTAATCCTCTCACAATACCAAAACGGAGGTAAAGTGTTTTGATATCCCGACGGTTTGACAAGTGGGGGGGGGACAGGGGTGGGAACCCAAGAGTAAAGGGAGCAGGAAGTCTACGGGAGGTGGGAAAAGAGAGGGCGGGAGAACCGGGAGAAATAAGAAAAAAAATTCACAACAATTTCATAATATTTTTCAATAGAAAAAAAAACACAGAGGTGGAACCACAACGGAAGGGGTGGGAACTGGAGTACAAGGTACAGGAAGTGGGAAGTTCAAACTCCTCTGTCCCCCCCCTGAAAAGGTGAGTGGTGAAGAGAAACAAGAAAATATGTTGATTGTTTGACTGCAAGTTATTTAAGGCTAAGCCAAGGTACACAATAATTGTGGATGAACTCAATTTTTCTTAAAAAATATTGCTCTGTCCTAAGCTAACTACAGCTTATTGTTGAGATAATCGAGTCTAAAACAAAGGTACCACGCACTACAAAAACAAAAACAAAATTTAATGATACTTTTGAAAACAACAAAACAATGAAGAAAATCAAGCCAATCTGACCTCTAAAGAAACTTCTCTGGTGTAAACACCTTTTCAACCTAAAATGATATGAATATTATTGTGATGTGAAAAGTTGGAAACAAAATGGCAATTGTGCGTGTTGTGATGATTACAAATTATCATGAGCTGATATGCAATAAATTTTGGGTTTTCATTGTGCATTATGTACTGCTTTTAAAATTTACTTTTGCACTACGTATCTCTTACCAAGCTTAGGAGGTCAGTTAATATAAGCTAAAGTATTATGTGGATTATGCTGCATAAGCATGGCAGTCATTTGGCATTAACAAGGTTACTGAACATTATCGCCATTATAGGTCTTATGTTAGCAGAGCTCTAGGAGGTTTCGTTTGCAGGTCAGTTAGGCCACACCATATACAGTAGCAAATATCAGTCGGGGGAACAAGTACCAGTTGAAGGCAAAATCCAGTCTCCAAGAATGGAGTGAGCCTGCGGTGTTCATCCCAAAGTTGCTAAGCAACATGACTATCCTTGTTGCACTATGCTGGCGTGACAATTTTCGGAGTACTTGCAAGTGCTAGGGTTGTTTTTTGATTGGATAATAACAATTGGAAACTCTTTGAGTGCTTCCACGAAGATTTGCCCAAATCAGCACTTGCTCCCCAGATATCACAGGTCCGTGAAGCATAGCATATCACAGGATACATATCATAGGTCACAG